TTTTTTTTGTTTTAGTATTTTGAAGTTGACCAATTGTTACTATAAGCAATTAATGATTATAGATGATCTGCACCATAAGCTACAAATTGACATAAATTATTATTATTATTACTATGTAGGATTTTGGGTAAATTTGAGAAACAAAAATGATATTGTGATTTTTGTTGATTTCGGATTCTTTTAATTAAAATATTTCTAGACGTTCTAAGAATATCAAAATTTACATGCATATTCATCAAAAACTAGGCCGCCAATGAATAAATTTTATATATAATTATTATGTGTAGTTTTACGCAAATCAGTAAAGAAAATCATTACCAAATGTGGCCGTGAGATTCAAAATATTGGAACACGAAAATATTTCTGAGCAAAACTTTCAAATTTAAAAAATCTTGAAAAGAAAATTCGAGACAATTTTTTTTTAGATTAATAGACTCCCTTTTTAAAGCTGAATTGAATGGTGGTGATTTTTAAAATCCAATGTGTGAATCACAAAAATTTTAACTTGAGTATAGATGATCTGCACTGTATGTCTAGCCAGCCACCTTGTTGAAACCAAGGGCTATACTGTACAGTTGTGACTGTAAATTTGAACGCTCTTAAATTCATAACATAAGGAAACATATTACTATGTCTACTCTATGTATACACTACTCTATGTCCCAACACCTGAGTCACAAAGTTGTTGCCTGCCTGAGTAGCACCAATACTGTTAAAGTCCTCGTAGATAATGGCTTTCTCCGTTTTGCTGCTAAAGATTCTATTGAATGTATCCAATGCAGTTTTTTGTCTGCAAATTTCAGTTTAGTAAACTTCAAAGGCTTCATATTCAGTTTCCACTAAGTGATTTGATGCAAAAGTTGGTGGATCGGTTGACATTATAATATTCGTTGTAATAATAAGAAATTTTTGTTCTTGTTTCTGATTTTGGTGACTCAATCAATGACATTTACATACCATACAATTTGCTATTGTTGCGTCATTGTATGCAGAATGTGACCAGATGATCAATGTGCAAAACTCGTGTCTAACAGAATGAACAGCACTGACTGGTTCACTTCAGAAATCAACCCACAATAATAAATAAAATAAATCTATCAATTTCCACCAATAACGCTCTACAAAAAATGCTTAATTTCTCAAGTGAATCCTTTTTTGGAGTATTTATTGGCTTTGTCCTTGGCCTGTTGTTGCTAAATGGCATAATCGACTCCACAATATGAGAATATTAATTAAGGTTATAAGGTCCAGAAAGTTACTAATCATCAGCAAACAAAATTTACTTGCCAGACATTGTAACATTCTGGAATGATCTAAAACAAGTATATTGAATTAGATCAAGATTTTGTTCAACAAAATGGCATTTGAAAATCATAAGTTGCTCGGCAAACAAAAGGTCATTGTTGCATCTATGATAAGAACATTTTATTTTCAAAGAACAACCTCACGGAAAATAATCAAGTGGTGATTTAACGATGGATTAATGAGGAAAAGGGAAATATGTGAAGAGTGAAGACAATTATAATGAAATTGAAAAAATTAATGTTAACAATGGTGTCAAAGATTATATTAGCAACAAGAATAATGAAATTTAAATTTGCACTAGAGTGACCAAAGAAATAGGTTATACTCATTAATGGTTTGGGTTTAAGTATTTTTCTCCCATGCAATCACTCTGGTGCTTTTATTGTTATTTATATTTTCAAGAGCGATTGCATTCTATATAATAAAAGTAATAAAATTATGTTTACAAAAATTGAATTATCATTATGTAATTATGACTCTTTGTTTGCAATTGTGTCAAGATAGTGAAATGCGAATCAAAGCTCAACGAATACACTCGAGCAGTCTTTTATCAACAAGTCAAAGACTATATAAATGGAGGCCTTGGTGGAAGCTTTTACACTAAATTGCTTCCTTTATGTTTCTTCTATTTTTTTTTTTTCTTGGTTCATCATAAGTTGGTGTCAATGTTTGTTTATTGGTTTTTATTTCTTAGTAAACTTCATAGATAATCCTCACCTTGTTCTTTTTCAAAATACTTCTGATAGTACTATAATTTTTGGGTTCCATAGTGAATCTGATATAGATTAGGTTCATATTTATTTTTATGCAGAGTGAAGAACTGAGTAATACAGTGGTAATACAATTGTGATGTTGAAAAAATTTTTGATCCCTGAAATTCTGGTACTATGAATGTTCACTTTGTCTGGTTTTTGTTGCAGCATGCTCCATATGAGACTTGAAATGATTTCTTAAGATTTGTAATCACGTATTTATATCTCAAAATTTTCTTATTATTATAAGCATGCACAAAATTTGTTATAAAAAATCACTTGTCCCAATAAAATCTAAATTTTTATTATAATTATTATTATGAAAAGAAAGATAAATTATATTTCCAATCTAGTATTAAACTATCACTACTATCACTACTATCACTACTATCACTACTATCAAGACTATTGTTACTATTACATTACCACAACCATTATAATTATGCAAATATAACTATTGATCAGCTACTATTACTAGAATTATATAATTATTATTATTTAATGAATCCAGGTCATTGTTTGTTCAAACCTTCAGAACGAGCTCTTTGTAATTCTTTTTTTATAATTTTCAACTTTGAATGTAGTTGAGAATAACTTTTAAGCTTGGTCCCAGTATCAGTTTCTGAACCAAACTCTTCAATTACTTTCATGGCAATCTTTTCTTCTTCTTTAGTGCCAGCAGATTTTTCAAGGTCTTCTGACAATTTTCTATGAAGTTCTTCCTTCTTTTGAAGAAATTGGTCTAACATATCATACTCTGTATATAATTCTTTATATTCATTTAATAACTTTACATAATCATCAAAGCTTTTAATTTTTAATCGATCATTGTTAAATGTCCCATTAAATCCACTATTACCATTATGTGGGTTTATTCTACTACTGCTGCCACCATTAATACCTGATGACCTGCTAGTTGTATCCGAATTTGATTTCATGTTTGAATTAATACTTGATTTGTCATTCAAACTGGAACTTGATTTAATAACAGTACTGTTATTAGTGTTTGATCTTCCAATGGAATTGATGGTTTGTTTACTACTGCTGTTACTATTGTTGATTTTGATTGATTTTGATTTTGAAGTAGAAGTAAATGTTTGAGAAGATGTTGATATAGAGTTTATAGTAGCTGCAGCACTTGTAATACCTGTGGTGGCAGTGGTGGCAGCAGTTGTGATAGCAGTTGCAGTAGATGTAGTGCTTTTTATATCAGTTGATTTATTTATACTTGATCTTGAGGAAGCAGTTTTACCTCCTCTACTATTTTTGGAGCCTACTGGTCTACCTCTCTTTGCCTTTGTGGCAGAAGCAGTTTTTGTGGTTGTTGTAGTAGACGAATTATCAGAGGCGTTTGTTTGTTCAATTACTTTGGCCTTTTGCTTTTTAGAAGGTTCTGTAGTTGTTGAGGATGATGCGGGGGAACTGTTAATTGAAGATGTAGTTGTTGTAGATAAATTCCTAGGATGTCTTCCTCTAGTTGATTTAGCTCCACGTGAATGTGATTTACCTCCCCTAGATGTAATTGTAACAACTGCAGCAGAGTCAGCCTTTTCATTAACAGCAGAATCATTGTTTAAACTTGATGTAATTGTTTTGCCACCTCTACCACCTCTGCCAGACCTTGCACCTCTGGTAGTGCCTCTAACTGTCTTAGCACCTCTTGCAGGTCTACCAACTCTAGTAGATACTTCAATTGATTTAGATTTTGATGTTGTTGACGAAATTTCAGTAGATCTACTACAAGTCTTGCTACCAACTTTACGACGTTTTGAGTTAGGTGGTTCATCAACATCATCATCATCTTGAATGGGTGTTTTTACATCATTAGATTTTGTAAGAGGATGTTTGCGACTTATGTTTGGTTTAGATGTAGGTCGTGGTTTGGGTCTTTGGGGATGATTTGGGGAGTATTCCATTTCATCAAGAGCTTTATTCATTTTACTTGCCACATCTTCAATTACACGATTTGATGAATATCCAGTCCACTCATATGGTTTAACCTCAAGCCATGATTGACTTTGAAGCCTCCAAACTTTATTGTGTTCATTAGCTACCTAAAAATAAATATATGTGTATATGTGTGTATAAATAATTCAAAAAAGTAATTGAGAGTAGGAACATATGGATTATCAATCCACATACTTCTTCCAAGACTTTTTCCACTGCATCTTTATTTTCACAAACTTTTTTAGCAATATCACTGGTTGAAAGTTCAGTGCTGGCTACCAGATGTATTATTCTTTGACGTAGAGGCACCCCAGGTTCATCATTATAAGAAGCAAAGTTATGAATACTATTACCAGATCCAACTACTGTTACAATTTGTGTAATACCTTTTTCATCTGTTTTTCCTTTAACAATATTTTTACGAGCATGGAATTTTGATTTATGCTTTAAAGTTGTAGGGTCAGGGAATGGTTGATCAATCACTTGTATTCTGATTAATAAATAAATATTATAAATAAAGGTTTCATTATTGTTTAAAATTAAAATTAAAATAATAAATAATAATAATAAAACTATATTTACTGTCTTCTCTCCTTCTGTTTCTTTTCCTCCTCTAAATTTTTTCTTAAATTTTGTTTGGCTAATACTTGTTTAGAAATTTCATGTGATTTTTGAGTACTACTAACAACATACCCTACAGAGCCAATTACTTCCATGGAATCACTTTTAGAAATTATTACTTTTGTCTGTTGATCAATATCCGATTTTTCCAATTCGATAGGTTCATTACCATCATTAACATTATATTGCTTAATTGATGAAAATTAAAAATATATGAATATATAATATACATACATACATATATATATATCACTTTAAATGGATCATGTAAATAACCGAAGATATACCATTTTATCGGAAAATTTGACTTTCAGTTTTATTCCATCATTTTGCGCACTAATTAACCGTTTAATGATTTGGTCGGTTAAGTTAACTTGGATGCACTTTTTCTTGGATTTGTCATCCAAACTTATTTTTTTCTGATCTGAAAATTCTACAGTAGTAGGGCTTGAGATTGCGTTAGTAGACTTTTTACTTGCTTTTATGGTTTGAGACATGTTAAAACTTATATAAAAGAGCGAATGAATGAAGATGAACCCAATACCAATACTAATAATACTAATGGTTATTTTTGTCACAAACGATCGTCAAATTTCTATTACAATTATGCAAATCATTTATAATATTAATATGAAGTAACGTTTGACGAAGACAATTCCAAAAAAAAATTTTATTACAATATTTTGTAGAGAATAATAATAATAAATGGCATCAAAAATTCATGAAATAATGCTTTTCATGCAAATTCCTTGAGGTCTAGCCGCATTTTTAATTATTTACTTGCACTCATAATCCCATTTCAAACAAATAACTTGATTGGTTTTAATGTCGTTTGATTTTTTTGTATTGTCAGCCTTTTTATTAACGTTTCGTGGAATGTTAGAATGAGAAACATACCTTGAAAAAGAGATATTTGAAAGGAAAAAAAAGAGTATCAAAATGTTAGGAATAACAATAATGTAGACAATGAAGAGAAGAGAGTAAATGCTGCAAATTTGTGAATTCCATTATTAAAAATATGATGGCGAGCGAGAATAACAATAATGAGATGAGGTGGATAAGCTTTTATAAATAATAATTACGATGAGATGGAAGGAAATCTTTTAAGAGTTGTATTAACAATTAATGAATTATTTATTACTCAATTTCTCAATCAATTAAATAGAACTACAACTATTAAATGAAAATCAATGTAAAATAAATAGTTCGTTTGAAACATTGAAACCTCTATATTTATTTAATAATAAGTTAATACGGTATTCTTTCACCATTTTTCAATAACAAGCTCACAACGTGTTCTCATAGAATTCACTAAATTAATTAGAACTGAATCAGGAATTCCCCATTCTTCCTTCATAAATTGTTCCAAAATTGCCACAATTATCAGGTATTCTTTTTCTATACGTTTGTCTTATTCCAGAGATTTTCAATCGGGTTTAAATCTGGACTATTGGATGGCTAGTCCATTACTTCGGGAACATTGTCATTGAGAAATGATCGGTGATTCTGCTGATATGTTTAGGATCATTATCCTCTTGGAACCGCCAATCATCTCATTGATCTCTGGAATATGTCTTTCAACAATTTCCATATAGAATTTTGCATCCGTTATTTCAAGATAGAAAGGTTTTTCCTTGGATACAAAATCCACCCCAAGCTAAAATTTTGGTTCTATCTTTTGGAATGCATCGGATTGGCCCTTCTCCCCTATGCCAACATGATACAGTGTTTCTAAACAGTTGAAAAGCAGTCTCGTCACTGAATAATGTCTTTGACCAGATGATTAGTTGCTCATTCAACGCGTTTTTCTTTATGTTTTGCAGTCAACATAGGGGTAGCTTGAGGAATGCTTTTTTGATAACCATGCTCTTTTAAACATCTTGATATTGTCATGTGAGATACATTTACATCATTTACAAACACTTAATTTGTCAAGGCTCTTAATGACAAAGAGGTATCTCTACGAATATATTGACCAATGGCACGTGCTGCACCTCCCGTGGTCGGCCATTACCTCCTTTATGCGAAACTTCATCTGTTTTCTTTAACTTTTTAATATTGTAATAGATAGTTGAGATTGGTATATTGGTCATAGCATGTAATTCTTTTGCAGAGTGCACACCATTGTTCCAAAAGTATAATATGGTTTGACATTGAGTTTCCTTCTCAAAGAAGACATTTTGAAAATCAATCATAAAAAAAATTACGTAACAATAACAATTATTATTTTTTTTTTGCTGAGTGAGGTCTGACCAAACATTTTATGGTGGTGTGACCCACTACTCAAAACCTTGAATGTATATGGCGGTCCAGACCTACTGATCCATGGCATCGCCATAGCTCAATTCCACTCTTTTATTAAATAAAATTAGATTTTCGGTAACATATGTTTACATAATAATAATAATTTGTTAAAATTTCACTTCTATTTCTATTGCTATTATTACTATTGTTCCTACTTCCAGTACTAGTATTATTATTATTAGTGTTGTTGTTGTTATCCTCATTATTGTTTCTATTAATAGATCTATTATTACTACTATTTCTACTGTTATTCTTATTATTATTACTGTTAAACCTTTCCACTTTCTGCTCCATTGTATGTAATTCCTGTTTCCTTTTCCCATTGTATGATACTATCACACCCCACTTTCCATATCTTTTCTTAGGATTTTTCCACTATCTTTTTACATAAGCTTCTTGTTAATTTGCTTATTTTGTTTTTAGGTAAAAAAAAATTATATATAAAACAATATCTCGCGTTTATTCTGAAAACTTCGTGACATTATTTGGTTGGGCAAATGGCAACTGTTTAAAACACATGATAAATTTTCCAATTTTTTTGTTACACTGTAATAACGCAGGACATTGCAGGTCGAGTGTCATATATACATATTAAATTTATCGTGTACAGTCGAATTAACGAATAATTTGAGTAAAACAAATAAAACGAATAATTTGAATAAACGAATAAAACGTATAAATTCGAATTAAGATTGAGTTGTGTTATTATTATTATTATTATTATTATTATTAATTATTATTATGAATAATTCGAATAAGAATTTGTATTACGAATAGAAGAAACTCTAGTCACAAGCCCACTCAAAAGAAAAAAGTAAAGATCGATACTCTCTGGAGCAAGCAGTAAACTCTAGCGGCAGCAGCATCGCCCGTATTTATTTCATCATTATAAATACTGTATGTGAGTATATACAGTCAAAGCCCGTTATAGTGGATCTCGTTATAGTGGACCTTTTTTGTTTCCAATGCTAATTAATTTCGCTCGATATAGTGGAAAACATAATAAAATTTCGTTATAGTGGAAAAAAGGAGAAAAATTACATATGGAACCAAGGGTCCACTATAACGAGCTTTGACTGTAATATGTTTGGTATTTTTCTATATTCTTGTTGGATAAAATTTTGTAACACCAAGATTGATGGTTAGCCGCGCGGTTAAGTGATTAAGGTACCAACCTCTATTCAAATGGATTTCCAATTAAAATTTCCCTAGCCAGGATGGCATCAGGTCTCTTATGTAGATATCTTTACAAACTTTCTGTGATTCCATCCAAGTTTTTTCAACCAGACACGAGCTGTTTTTTCAGTAATTTTCTTTTTCATTTTCTAGATCATGTTTCGAATCAAGCGAGTTTTGCACCAATACTCTCTGCAATTATTAAATGTACCATAATTTTTAATGCGCAATTTAAAAAATACACATTGTTTGGATGTGTGCTTCTACCTTTTTCTAGTATTGTTAATTTTGATAAAGTATCTTCAAACTTTTTAATCAAGTCTTTTTCATTACTTTATATTTCAAATATTTTCACAATGCTATCAACTGTAACATCATTTGGAGAACTTTTCTTTACGAAAAAGGATGGGTATTTGCAGCAGCAGTTTTAAAGGCAACATTTTTTTTAACATGCAGAATTAAACAGAAGGTCTTTTTGAGCTAGAATTAAAATCATTCGCAAAAGTATGATCATACCAAATTTCATCATTAATTCATTTTCAGATGTTTTAAAGTCATAAAATTGTTTTGTCTAATCATCTAAGAATCGTCATTATTTACATCAAAATCTTAATGATTAAAATTTTTTTGTGCTTTATAATCACCTGCTTTTTTAATTGACTTTTAGGAGTCAGAATTTTCAAATTTTTCGAGAAAATCACAATTATTGAATGATGTAAATTGTATATTGAGTTCAAGCATCATCTTCAACACCACTAAGGCTTTATTTAGATAAATTGACAATAAAACTTCATACAGGAATCATTCATCACCATAGTTTGTTTAATAAATGAAGGATCGTTGTTTGTTAATTTTGATTTATTTTGTTTTACTCCTCCCACATTATAAATTAGAAATATATATTTCTTTTTTTTAAAAAAATGCAAAAAAAATTATGATTTTTGTACCATAATTATACAATCTATACTACTTACTACTACTACTATTATATAGGATCATTATTGTAATAAAAATTAAATATTTATAATTGGTTTTTTCCTACTATAAATATTATATTCATATCAATGTTTTTTAAATAATTAATAATTAATAATGACAATGATAATCAAATTAAAAATATGAAATGAGAAAAGAAATTATTGATAAATAATGATGTGATATGATATAAAGACAATTGGAGCATGCAGAAGAAAAAAAAAAGAAAGGTATCATTAAAAAAATTTATATAAATATTTTTACATAAATGAAAAGAAAGGATAATAAAATAAAGAATATGATGATGTTGAATTAGATATTAACTTCATCAAATCTTTGAAAAACAGCATTCATAAATGTTTCTGATATGCCAGGATTTTCTTTTTCGGCTTCCTCAAAAGCAATCCTTAATCCTTCCAAAGTTAACCGAGCCTTTTGAGATGGTGCAGTTTTACGCAACTATTTTAAATATCAAATTAATTTCTAATTTTTAAAAAAAATCAATATTAATAAAAGTATCCTATTACCTTGTCAATAGATGGAACAATAACTTTAGTGAAAACCTCTGGACCCGATACTGATACTGGTGGTTCTTCATGATTTTGATATAAACCATAAACATCATCATTATCATTATCATCATCAATCCTGTTTATATGTTTAATTGTATCATATCCAGAATCATTTGTTTTTAATGCCTATTAACAGTTATTAATATTATATATTTAGAAATATTGATTTAAGAAAATTTAATAGTTATTGATGAATATTGATTTTCAATACCATTGCTTGTTTTCCTTTAGCAGGACCAATTGTGGCATTGTCTTCTGAATAATCATCCTCTTCATTATATGATGTTAGTGAAACTGGTCTTGCATGTTTAACAGTCTCAAATTCCCAAGATGGTTCTTCATAAGAATCATGTCTATTGAAATTATGGTGTAAAAATTTGGATCAAAAAACTAATGAAATTTATTTCTACATATTTATATTTATGATTTTACCCATTTTCATTATGTGTCACTTCATCTGTATCATCATGACCTCTCTCCACCAACCATCGTTGATATCGTTCAATTAATTCTGTTAAATATGAAGTTTTTTTGGCATTACGAATAAATTTGTTTTTGAGCAATTCTTTTGCAGACAGTCGCTAATTGTAAAAAAAATTTTAACAAAAATTTGTAACAAATAGGTTGAATGAATAAATCATTAATTATAAAGAAACTAAATAATACATTTTTTGGATCTTTGTCCAAACATGCAGCCACAAACTCCTTAAATGTTTTAGAATATATCCCATCTAGACTTGGTGGTGGGTTTTTAGGGATAAGGAAAAGAACTTTCATTGGATGTAAATCAGCATATGGTGGTTCTCCTTTGGCAAGTTCAATAGCAGTTATACCCAATGACCAAATATCTGCCTAAAAGTGTATACATGTGCACATGATTAATTAAAATTAAAATTAATGATTTGATAAAAAAAATTATATTATAAATAATTACTTTAGAATTATATCCAGATTGCTTTATTACTTCAGGTGCCATCCAAAACTTTTTTATTCGTAATTAAAAAATAAAATGAATATTATGCTTTTTTCTTTTTACTAACAAGAAAAGAGACTAAACTTACTGGTGTTCCAACAAAAGTATTTTTCTTGGTCATAGTGGCTGTAATCTATCATATAATAAATAATACCTTTAGTAAAATTTAATAAGTTACCAAAAAATTTTGTTAATTAAGCAAACCTGTCCAGAAACTCCGAAATCTGCCAATTTAACTATAATACAATTATATAATTAAATAATTAATATATTTATACTTTTATGTTTATACATGCAAATAATATATATATATATACCATCTCCATTAGAACTTAACAGCACATTTGCAGCTATTACAAAATAGTTAATTTATTATTATTATTATTATTATTATTATTATTATTATTATTATTATTATTATGATTATTATTATTATTATTATTATTATTAAGATTTCAATTATATGTAATAATAATATTTAGCAAAAAATCATTTCCTTCCTCTAACCTTTGATATCTATAAATAAGCAAATATAAATATATTTATATATTAATCAAACAATATAAAGTACTTTTTATAAAAAGGAACTGATAATTAAAAGCAAGAAAGCAAACCTCTGTGTAATTTGTTTTCATTATGAAGATAATCAAGACCTTTTAATAATTCTCGCAATATGATTGCTATGTATTCCTCTCTAATAGCTCCTGCTTTCATCTAAAAAAAAATATATAATAAGTATTAAATTAATTAATCAATAATTGGATTACATATATATGAATGTATGTTAAATAATTTAATTCATACTAAATCTGAGCAAGAACCACCAGAACAATATTCCATTATAATCCACAAATGTGTTCCTTTTAGATAAGAACCATAATATCTATATATAACATTAGGGAAAAGAAATTTTATTAATACAAGAACTAAATACAATTGGTAAATTAAAATATATAAATGATCCTTTTTCTACCTTGTAACGTATTGTGAATCCAATTGTGAAAGAATAGCAATTTCTTGTTGAATATCTTCAATTTCATCTTCAGCAGTTTCAAGATCAATTATTTTAATTGCGACTGGTTTTTTGGTTTTTTTATCAAATCTTGTTGTAATTGATAAAAAAAAAACTTGATTAATTTCCCGAATTCTCATTGATGATTTTTCCAATTAATTAATTTAAAATTTAATATATAATCTCTACCCTTTGTAGACTTCACCAAAAGATCCTTTACCTATAAAAATATATATAAATAGAAAAAAGGTATTTAAGAATATAATAATCCAGTATAATACATCATATATTTAAATATATATATATAAATGAGTATAAACCTATTCTGTCTTGTTTAACATAGAAATCTTCAGGATCTGCTTGATTTGTATAAGTCTTAAAAAGTTTTTAAAAAAATTAGTTGAAATTTAATAAAATGTTTAAGAACTTAAAGATCACATACCATCTGCAAAAGTTTTATTAATAAGCAAGAAGAAAATATTTAAATTGGAAAAAATGTATTTCGAAAAAAAAAAATTTTTTTGTCAAATAAAAACTTTTTCTAATTTATGCTTGAAAACGCGTGGAATTATACTTTATATTGTAGAGATTTTGAGGAGAAAAGTCAATATTTTTTAATAATGGATTTCCCCTAACAAATTATTAACTAACACAGTTTTGGTAAAAATAAATGTTTATCATATCAACATGTATGTAATTTTTATGAGGAATGTAACAATCATAAATAATAATCTAAGGGATGAAAATTTTTTATTAATATGAGTAAAATGGCTGACTGCTGCGTGGAATATTAAAAAAAAATTAAAATTTTGGTCTGCGTAAAATATTGTAATCAAAATTAGAACCATCATTATTATTGTTACTATTATTACCATTACCATTACCGTTACCATTACTGTTGTTATTGCCATTATTACTGTTACTGTGTGGTGGCTGCGGCGTTGGTAGTTTTAAAGAAAATGTTTGAAGTGATGGAGAAGATGAGGATGCTCCCGGAGGTGGTGGTTCCATTGAATTATTATTATAATTATTATAATATGCACTACTACTGCCATTACCGTTATCATTATAGTTGTTTAATGATGGAAAAGAGAGAGATGACGATAATGATGGAAAAGGGAGAGATGAAAAAGAAACAGGTTGATAAAGTGGAAGAAGCGTGAAAGGAAGAGATTGGGATTGGTAAGGTAGTGATGACGATGATGTGGATATTGGTGCAGCTGTATTGATAAGGTTATTATCAAAATTTCTATTATCATTATAATATTGATTTTTTGGAAATGGTTTTCTTTTTGTAGAATTATTATTTTTGCTGTGATTTCTATTATAAAAAAAGAATAATAATAAATGATTAAACTTCAAAGGATTCTTCACATGTAATTATTATTTTATGACATGGATACTTGAAAGCATTTAGGATAGAATGATGTATAATACTCAGGGTACATATATGGATCATGTGAAAACACCCAATAATCGATCAATATTAAAATAATAAATCATTCATTACATGGTCGATTGGTTTTTTTTGTTATTTCGTGAATTTCCCTTATGAAGTTTTTCTTTTTCATCATCAGAAAATTCTAATTCCTAATAATTTTATAAAATAATAATCGTAAATAATAACAAAAGAAATCGAAATCATCATCATTATTATTTTAATAAATAATGCTAACTGATTCATTGACTTCTTCATCGTATAGATTACTTGCATCACAACCTTTCAGTTGGCGAAGAGGCTGAGTAAACACATATTTTGCAAAATCCTTTACACAAAATATATCAGTGTTGATTTTAATCTTTTCTTTGTTAATTTCTGATTCATTATTAAATTTTACAACATATTTTGGTTTAGCGACTGGTCCGATTGTTTCAAAGATCTAAATAATAATAAAAATTCTTATCATTTGTTATTATAATAATAATATGTTATTATTTTCAATATTTTAAATTATACAAGTACTTGTCCCAAGATTTCCCTATTTTCTAATACTAAAATACTATCACTATCTAAAACTTGCAATTCTCCTGATAATTCTGAGTCTATAACAATATAATTCTCGACAATGTGTAATATTTGACCAATTTTTCGTAATTCCATATCTAGTGTTATTTCTACATTTGGTTTACTTATTATTATGTCTACAATTTCATTTTTAGTTCTTAATGGTGATTTTGAATATGGTAAATCCTCTTCGTCTTCGTCTTCATCTCTATAATCGTCGTCATCATTTACTTTTTTGTTACTATTTACAACTTCTATAACAATTCCATTCTTTTCACATTCATCTAATCCTGACATTTTAAAAAAATTTTCCACGATGTTACACGATTGAATTTCAGATTAACTAAAATAACAAGTACAGCTCACTCTCTCTATAACGGCCCTTTCTATAATGTCCTCCATTCTATAACGCACTGGAAATCAGAACCCAAATTTTTATTATATAAAAACCTTACTCTGTAACGGTTTTCTTAATTAAATTTCCTATAGTGTATGACAGCCTGCCTCTGAAAATTCTCATATGTTTTATATGTTTTATATGTTGTCTATAATGGCCGACGATCATGATCTTCGGTGATCGTTACCAAATTAAGAAATTCAGGGTGTCACGCTCAATTATTAACAGTCATCCGTGATTTCACGGGATCGACATGTCTACTGCTGTAGCTATGTAATTTTTTCGTGAAACATTTCAAT